TCTTTTTTTTTTTTTTTTTGTGGGAAATTATTATAACCGTGCTAAGTAGAAACCAGAATCAATGAAATGACCAAAATGCATGTCCTACTTTACTTAAAAATGAATCTGCGATAATGGATGAAAAATATTATCGGTAAACTGCGCTTATCTTTAGTCGGGAACCGCGCAAATAGTTTACATAAGTTTGCGGATCCACGTGGAATACCTCAGGACCCGTCTTAAAACAAATAAAATTAAATAAAAACAAGGAAAACTGTATTCGAGTTCGGCAGTTGGGAGAAATATACCGAAGAACGTCGATACAACTTTTCATTTATGTATTAGGACCAAAATGAAACTCGTAAAGAACACTTTTGAAGGGGAGCAAAATGTGCACATAAGTTAAGGAAATTTGCCGTGCTTTTTGAAGATCAGTTCGCCGTTTATTTATCTATTTACATATATTTATTATGATTTTGATAAAAGGAGAAAAAGACACTCATTTTAAAACGATATGTATGTCTTTTTATTGACACAGGGGTTATTTCAGATTCCCTCCTAATATCAGGCAGATGTAATGCTCTGATTAAAAAACAAAAGACAGAAAATGCTAGTCACGAATTGGTCAGACGAATCGTTTACAGTTTATTACTAACATTACCACGTCCAAGGGTTATTGTCGGAAACAAAAAGGATTTTTTTATTACTGGTATATGCAGACTGAATTGTGATAAATATAGAGCATGCACTTGGCAGACGACGATTAAGGGTTTTCTCCACTACAATTAACGTAGTCAAACCCTAAGATTTACAATTGATAAACTTGCACGGTGCACGACGTTTGCTATCAGATGAAAAAAGCTTACCGGCTGAGCTGAGTCGCCTTCTACAGTATTTAAGCTAGCGTGTCTCTGGAAAAACGACTTCAGGAAGTAAACAAAACAAAGGGATATACATATACTAGCCAGCAGGGCTGCTCGCAAGTAAGTGAAATACTTTTTGACAATATATCACGGTACAAGTACTGTTGAAAACACACCGGGTTTTTGAAAAATAATGATAACACTAAAATTGTCATCGTTTTCGTTTTATTGTTGAATGTTTGTATTGTTTATATGCAGCGTAATTTTTTTTCGTTTTTTTTTTTTTTTCAGATCAACAATGGCCATGGCTGTCACTATACCTCCTATTGCTGGTAAGATCAGTGGAATACCCACACGCTATTCGCTTTCACCATCACTACTCATAAGCACCACGATACAGAAAATAAAAAAATCTGATACTCAAATTTTGTCTGGTAATGACGAGACTGAAAGCTGTTTTTCTACAGTGACCAGAGCCTGTTTTTAAGAGTGTTATTTCTTTTTGGGGTTACAGCTCATGATGTTGACTTTGGTCTGAGCATATCTCATGCACCACGTTTCATATGTTAATAACGACAATCGCAAATCCATTATCCGGTTTAAAAATGTTCGTGGTTTGGGTGAAATAAACCGATTTTTTAAAACCAAATATAAAGAACATCGCAATTCTCTGTTACGTTTATATTTCGAAGTACTTACTGTGCATATAATTGAATGCCGTTATAATTACTGCAGATAAAGGTACATCATTATATTTCCAGGTTATACAAGCGATAACAGCACAAGTCTCTTCAGTGCTTGTTCATCGGCCGCTATTTTCCCGCCACTGGCTTGTGGGGACAATACGCTGTGCACACGTAACCCGCTGTTCTCGATCTTCACCGGCTCCAACCAGGTGTGCCTCTGTCCTTTGACAGCTTACCCCTTGGTGAATGGAACATGTCAGACTAGTGAGTGATTTTTGGCATTTTTATAGTTATATTTACTTTATACTGTTATGAGTGGAAGTCGCAATCGCTACTGTATTTATTTCGAAAATGCCTCAAAGGTTGGGAAATGTAAATATTCCTAAGTCATTAGTTTTAAGTTGTAGATGTTTCTTGAAAACATTCGTACTGTTCAAGCAGAATGTACAAATTCCACAATTTCTATTTTTATTTTTCTACTTCTATTTTTGGGGTTCTTGGAATGCATAGACACTGGGAATTAGGGGGCTAAGTAGTCCGAATTGTGCGTAGGACTATGGTTTCCATGTAACTTGCTGATTAAGGCCGGAATATATGACAGTGATGTTTTTTTTTCTAAAAATTAACAGGCATTTCGTCATTTGGTTACTTTGGCTAGACCCTTTCGTATACCCTGGTATATCTTGGAGTTGAAATCTTGTTTCATGTTCTCATTCCTTATGACACGAAATATAGACTGATGTAAAAAAAAAAAAAGATACGTCCAACACCAGAGTGGAGATAAACAGATCTCTTATTTTAATTTAATTAAAATGGGTTAAACTAAAATGTGAAATTGTGTGTAAATCAAAATGTTTACGCGGGGGCTCAAGATAAACATAACATAAGTTACACCTAACGTTCATTCTTCTCTGCACATAACAAACGTTTCACAGGATATTTCTTTTATTTTATTATTTTCTTGCTAATGTATATTGTATAGCACTATATTGTTGATTTAATATATATATATATATATATATATATATATATATATATATATATATATATATATATATATATATATATTACTTAGAGAGCATTTTTTATATATATATATATATATATATATATATATATATATATATATATATATATATTACTTAGAGAGCATTTGAACGTAAAACTTTTCTGTGCTCGATTAATTATTACTATTATTTTTATTATAGTTGCCGGAACATCCTGCACGACAGACCAAGACTGCAGTAACAGGTCAGCCGACTGCGTTGGTTTGAGCGGTTTCGGATTGGAAACTTCCTTAGTTGAATTTCTGTTGGTATGTTAGCACAGTTATCAACATCATGTGCACACAGAATCACAAACACAAAACTGTTGCACACGGTTTGCTACATGTATTCATGCAACTATACACTCGAACCCGTTTTCGTTTGCCTTACAAGGTGCGCAACCTTTTTTAAGCGCCTTTTTTTTAGAACTTAAAAAATAACTTTTATTGTAGAAGAAGAGTGAGAGTCGATGGAACTCACTCACCACCTTATCGATTTCCCACGTCTGGATTGAGCACATATTGTTCAGTCTTATCAACGGCAAGATCGGCAGTAAACCATAAAAGAAATAAACACTAATGGAATTACAGCAGCTCCTCTCAGCTCCTCATGCAGTTTATTATCAACACATAATATTTTATTAACCCCCCCCCCCCCCATTCCTCTTTACGCTGGGCGGCGTCCTTTCTGCGTATCGTAGTACAGCCCGGTTTGAGAGTAAAAAAAAAAATATCAATAATATTTTAATTACGTGCCGACAGTTGTGCCATCATTAAGCATTTTTGTTGCAACCAAGGCAATACGCACAAAGCGCGCAAAAAGGACGCCGTCCATTATAAAGGGGTTTTAAGACCAATGCATAAATTTGATTTGATCGCTATTTAGTTCATGCGTTTCTTTTCCAGCCCGTTGTTGTGTTTGTGTGTCAGCTTACTGTTGAATTCAGCTTTCAAGTCCCGGTGTGGACCTGCACGGGAAACACTTGCGCCGTCGTGGGAATCGGGGCACCGTCGATATTTTCTGGAGGGTTCCCTGGAAGACGCAAACGGGAAGGTACGCATGAAGACACTCAGGTTCACTCATAATAAGACTACCTATATATAACAATGGGGATTGGATGACAATTACGTGTGAGATGTTCTTTGCATGCTGTAGGTAAAATGGTAGTATTTCAAAATACAACATACTTTTCTTTCCCTGATTGTTCTTTTTTTTTTTTTTAATCAGTTTTTTTTTTTTTTTCAAAAAATGATTGGAAACACTTTCAGCGAATCCATGGCACATTCACAAGGTTAAGGCCTATACAGTGTATGTCATAGCGAAAAGTTTATTTCACCATGACGGGGACGAAGTGAGAGTGTGTGTGTGTGTGTGTGTGTGTGTGTGTGTGTGTGTTTGTGGAGATTTCAAACTATTTTCACCTATTGTTGATATCCTGCATCAACAAAACGTCGGTTTACCTCCTCAACCACGCGAGATCTCATCAGCCACACGAGATCTCCTCCATGCAGCATTATTTTCACTCTTTGTTTTGTTTTCCTTTTCTGCAGTTTCTATCCCATCTGAAGCGATAAAAGAAGATCATGGTGCCCCGATAACTGCGTCTGTATCCAGGAAAACAAGAAGCGAATCAGAGACTGCTCTTGGGCCGGAGATCTCTTCCGTCGGTGACTCCAAATCGAGGCAAAAACGCTGGACGCCAACAGTGGCGTGCACACCTGCTGTCCAAGTATGGGGCTTTATAGTAAGCTTTTTTACAAGCCAGACAAATACGTACGTCTGTAGTTCGTTCGCACCTTCTTAAAAGCCAAATATCACAATACCCGTCAATCATTTAAGACAGTCAAAAGGACATAGGATCAACTCGATGCTCAGCCACAGCTATTGGCGCATGTTACCAGGACTTCGATGCGTTTTTTTTTTTTTTTTTTTTTTTTTTTCTTGCTGACAGGATAGTTAACATTTGATGATTTCATAAATGTTGGTAGATTCAATTTTCAGAAGAAATTATTGGGCACATTGCTTTGGACAGTGTATTATTTCAAAACGCAAATTTCTGTCGATGTGTGAAGGGTTATGATCATACATTGGTAAATAATAAAATGTGGCATTTTGATCGGATCGTACGGTTGGCTTATTTGAACACATTCATACATAATGTGACAGGAACAGCGGTAGCTGACTCCGAGTAAAGGAATAGTAGCCCGTTCAATGTTACTTTATACCTGTGATATTCGCCCTCTAACTCAACCCGTTACTTCAGACTGACCCTAGCATGTGGGACGCCGGTGTGAAGGGAACGGAAGTCCTGGGAATGCATGTCCTGGGTCTTCCATTCCTAGGAACACATGTCCTAGGACATAATTTCCTGGGATTTAAAGTCCAGTGGACACCCATTACTTAGTATTTTAAGTCCTGCAGACAGGTATCGATGTCCTAGTCGGACATATATTCCCGGCTAGACTAGTAATAGACGTCCTCTGATATTTTCATATGGACGAGGTGCTAATTTTAGAAATTTTAAACGTGATGTTTAATTATGTAATACGTTTTTTAAATTATTTGTATACATGTGTCCCTAAACACAATTTATTCGCCTAACTTAAGATATTTTAAATAAACAAAAAATGACTACAAATTAATATTAGATTTATAATATAATATAATTTTTTTTCCATTTTATTTCATATTTCAATTAAAATGAAATATCAAAATATGAAAAATATGAGATTCGCGCCAGTCAATGCACCTTCTGAAATATGTCGGCCTCTTCGTGTAACATAAATGCCTTAAAGCAATAATAACTCTTCCTTTGAGATTCAAAATTCGGCAAGAAATACATTGTAAACAAAGCATGGGAATATATTATATTGTATTTTACCACTAAAACGGCCGTTATTGTAGTAAAACTAAAATCTGTGCTTGTCAATAGGGCTTTCGATGCCTTTCTTCCCGGTCGTCAAGGCATCCGTTGCTAATGACGTAAGGGTGTCACGCGGATTCTCGCGTTCATTCGAGACCAAAATAACATGGCGCGAAACGCATTGATGCAGACGCATGTAAAGCCTCTCTTCTGGTCTTCAAATCAAGTTCGGTCCCTTGGTTCTAAACTGTTTACCAGAGGCTCTGTTCTGGTCCTACACCTGTTAATGTCCATCATGACGTATTNCTTGCTGACAGGATAGTTAACATTTGATGATTTCATAAATGTTGGTAGATTCAATTTTCAGAAGAAATTATTGGGCACATTGCTTTGGACAGTGTATTATTTCAAAACGCAAATTTCTGTCGATGTGTGAAGGGTTATGATCATACATTGGTAAATAATAAAATGTGGCATTTTGATCGGATCGTACGGTTGGCTTATTTGAACACATTCATACATAATGTGACAGGAACAGCGGTAGCTGACTCCGAGTAAAGGAATAGTAGCCCGTTCAATGTTACTTTATACCTGTGATATTCGCCCTCTAACTCAACCCGTTACTTCAGACTGACCCTAGCATGTGGGACGCCGGTGTGAAGGGAACGGAAGTCCTGGGAATGCATGTCCTGGGTCTTCCATTCCTAGGAACACATGTCCTAGGACATAATTTCCTGGGATTTAAAGTCCAGTGGACACCCATTACTTAGTATTTTAAGTCCTGCAGACAGGTATCGATGTCCTAGTCGGACATATATTCCCAGCTAGACTAGTAATAGACGTCCTCTGATATTTTCATATGGACGAGGTGCTAATTTTAGAAATTTTAAACGTGATGTTTAATTATGTAATACGTTTTTTAAATTATTTGTATACATGTGTCCCTATACACAATTTATTCGCCTAACTTAAGATATTTTAAATAAACAAAAAATGACTACAAATTAATGTTAGATTTATAATATAATATAATTTTTTTTCCATTTTATTTCATATTTCAATTCAAATGAAATATCAAAATATGAAAAATATGAGATTCGCGCCAGTCAATGCACCTTCTGAAATATGTCGGCCTCTTCGTGTAACATAAATGCCTTAAAGCAATAATAACTCTTCCTTTGAGATTCAAAATTCGGCAAGAAATACATTGTAAACAAAGCATGGGAATATATTATATTGTATTTTACCACTAAAACGGCCGTTATTGTAGTAAAACTAAAATCTGTGCTTGTCAATAGGGCTTTCGATGCCTTTCTTCCCGGTCGTCAAGGCATCCGTTGCTAATGACGTAAGGGTGTCACGTTCTCGCGTTCATTCGAGACCAAAATAACATGGCGCGAAACGCATTGATGCAGACGCAGACGTAAGTTGCGAGTTTTTGTACAGTGCGTCGGATAGCATAGCGAAAATCCCAGAATGGCACGCATTGTGGATATAAATGCATTTTTAACGAAAAGACGAATATATCTCATGAATCTTATATTATTGTTATATAGTGTTATTGTTGTCCGCTTTTCCCGCGGTTTTAAGTAGGTCACCAGTGACTATGCAATGTCAGAGAGAGCTCAGTCAGTTAAAATCTCTTAAGAGATTTTAACAAAGAACCGTACGTTTAGGAAAAAACCCTGGATTAACTTTGAATGCAGGATTGGGGTCGTTGACCATTGGTAAGTACGGGAAAATTGCCTTTTTTTCCAGGAAAATCCAATTTTTGGCCAAAACGAAGAGTTATTATGACTTTAATTGTTATTAATCGGCCATCCACATACAATTGTCTGGGGGTACACAGATTTAGAGTTTGACTGGTGCCCATTTCTAACCAATGTATTTTGTCCTTTATACACATCACACTTCACGTCTTACAGTTTTTTTTTTTTTCGATGAAATACGAGTGTGTGAAATAATACACTGCCACCCTCTCGCGATATATACACTTAGAAGAACATGTTGAACACTTCTCGATGACGTAAATTTTATGTCTTTGTATTTTCAGGTGAAAGTAGGAAGCATCAGCTCTTATATGTCCACTTATCCAATAAAATTCGGCCACGGCCTTGTATAGTCTACCTCGAGTTTATGAAAGAAATCTAAAATAGCTCAACTTTAAAAAATGATATTTATATCAAACATTTAAATGATTCAAAATTTCACCTCATCAAAATAATCTAAATTGTATAACAACATAAAGTGCTTTTAGTTCGTTGAAGAGGGGAATAAATTGGGATAACATTTGCATAAAGAGAGTAACATCGCTGCTGGGGATTCGAACTCACTAACGTTTCTTTTCGCTATTGGTTATTGAATCAAGCCGTTTACTCATGAGCCTGTGTGGAAGCAGTCAACTGAAAATTACCGATACTTATGGCCTCGCGTTTATAAGTATTGTAGGGGTATTAATTATGTAGGACTTGCGTTTCATAGGACATGCGTTTCATAGGACATGTTTTGCGTAGGACCTTCGTTCCTGGGGGACATACATTCCTTTCACATCGGTTTAACGAAACTGAGGGTCCGTGTAACAGAAAGTCCATCCTCCAATGAGTTATAATGGTTATACTTAGCCTGACCTAAGTGGGTCAAAATCTAGAACGAGGCTTACCTGTACATATGAATGGGAAACGGACTCTCTGTCACCATACATCGCAGTATCATTTTTTTTTCTAATCGCCCGCCATCATTGATGGCAACTGCCATACTAGTGGTTGATTCACAGTTTCAAAATTGTATCAAAGTTTCAAAACTGAATCTTCAAAATTGCATAATTTGCTCTAAGCAGACAATATATTATAGTGAAGAGGTGTGATTTATCACATTATAAAGGACTATACAAGCAGTAAAGGCTATATCATATACCGAAATGCAACACAACTACAAATATATATATGTATAATAATCGAGGTTGTATTGAATCAACATGATACATTGTAAACATGTACATTCAGGTGCGATATGCAACAAACGGTGTACAGGACTTAGGGGACTCAAAAAAGAATAGAGTCCAGTGAGACGTGACCAATCAGAGGCCTGCGATTAACTATTAATCAATGTTGTATTAGATTTACATGATTTAAAAGTATACCTACAATACACCGTTACATGGCAAGCGAGCGGCTAAGAATCGATGGGTTTAGCGTGGGCATGTATAAATACTGATATTAATAAATTAACTTTGCAGAAGCAATATTGCATACCAAAGACCAACTGTGTTTCTTTATTAGAGAGTCTTTCTCCTGTATTGACCTCCTGGTAGAATGGTCAGGTTCCTGGCTTAGTTGGCTAGGATTTCCATGAGTGTGTTGTAAAACTACTCCTGATACGGTAAGATGTGTTTCTGTGACCATGTTACCTTGGCAATAAGGTTCTTATCCAGGGAACCCTTTTTTGTGTTAAACCGGGTCCTGATCACACAGCTATCTTTCATCATTTTCAGACTTACATGACAAAGCCTTAGGGTTAAAACCAAATGTTTATAATGATCGGTAAATAAATCCCATTTCTATTAGTCTGGCCGTTTGACGTTTGACGAGGGATAAACAACCAGTCTGCAACATTTGGTAATTGAAACTGTAGCAATCGCTTGTCAACTGGTAGCAGGAAGGTCGCACAGAATATGTATATGTTGCCAACTTGTGACAGTAGCTGCATTCTCATAAATTCCCCTCTCAAAAGACAAAAAAGTAAAACGACTCCTTTACAATAAAACAGGACTGTTATAATCATTGGCTTTGTTTATCTAAGCAGTAAAAAAGTATTAAAAAAAACTCGGAAATACTGGGTAAGACCGTGGATTGCAAGACGCCCCTTGTAAGGCGATTACAAACATTTGATGAAAGAATTTGGAAAATAAGAACGTTTTCATTTCCTTCCAAAAATAAAACCAGCAATGCTTTGTGAACTTTTGAAAAGACTACACCCTCACCTAACAAAACCAGTGCTGTAATAAAACATAAATTTGCATACTTTTTAATCTTTATCAACCTTATAATACCCTTTTATATTTTCTTGTTGAAACACTTGGTCTCTGAGGTCGCAAGACCTGTGCGGTTACGGTAACACTGAACAAAAAACCTCTTTGGGACTTGCAGCTGTCACCGGTTACAAAAAGGTCGGCGATCGGTTGCAATTACTGGTAAAGTGGTTTCCAAATGACTGCTGGTTGATATCCGGTTGCAACACC